GAGAGAAGAAAGAAAGAAAGAAAGAGAAAGAAAGAAAGAAAGAAAGAAAGAAAGAAAGAGAAAGAAAGAAAGAAAGAAAGAAAAAGAAAGAAAGAAAGAAAGAAAAAGAAAGAAAGAAAGAAGGAGAAAAAAGAAAAGAAAGAAGAAAAGAAAGAAAGGGAAAAAAGAAAAAGAAAGAAAGAAAGAAAAAGAAAGAAAGAAAGAAAGAAAGAAAGAAAGAGAGAGAGAGAGAGAAAGAAAGAAAAAAAGAAAGACAGACAGACCACCATTATTGCCAGGTACAGTGGTTCATGCGTATAATTCCAACACTTTGGGAAGCCAAAGCAGGCAGATCACCTGAGGTCAGGAATTTGAGACCAGCCTGGCCAACATGGTGAAACCCTATCTCTACTAAAAATACAAAAATTACCTGGGCATGGTGATGCATGCCTGTAATGCCAGCTACTTGGGAGGCTGAGGCAGGAGAATCACTTAAACCCGGAAGGTGGAGGTTGCAGAGAGCCAAGATCATGCCATTACCTTCCAGCCTAGGTGACAAAGCGAGACTTTGTCTCAAAAATAAAAATAAAAAATAAACAACATTGTTGAGCTATAACTGATGTTCAGTAAACTATACATACTTAAATTGAATAATTTGATGAGTTTCAACATATGTACATACCCAAAGAACAAACACCACAGTCAAGATGCCAAATGTTTCCATGGCTTCCAAAAGCTTACTTTTGCTCCTTTCTAAGTCACTCCCCATTCGTCCCGCCCTCATTCCCAGTGACCATCATCACTATAGACTGCCTTCCTTCACTATAGACACCTTTACATTTTCTGGAATTTTATAGAAATAAAATTATGTAATTTTTTTTTTTTTTGACAGAGTCTCCGTCTGTCACCCAGGCTAAAGGGCAGTGGCCCAATCTCAGTCACTAAAACCTCCACCCCCTGGGTTCCAGCAATTCTCCTGCCTCAGCCTCCCTAGTAGCTGGTATTACAGGCATGCGCTACCCCCCCTGGCTAATTTCTTTTTGTATTTTCAGTAGAGACAGGGTTTTGCCATGTTGGCCAGGCTGGTCTCAAACTCCTGACCTCAGGAGATCCGCCTGCCTCAGCTTCCCTCAGATTACAGGCATGAGCCACCATGCCCTGCCAATATGTACTCTTTCTGTGTGACTTCTCTCATTCAGTATAATTATTTTGTGATTCATCCATGTTATTGCATGTATCAATAGTTTGTCTCTTTTTATTGCTAAGAGGATTGAGATGTAGATGTACATATATTAGATTGGGGCAAAAGCAATTGTGGTTTTTGCCATTACCTTTTTTTTTTTGAGACGGAGTTTCGCTCTTGTTACCCAGGCTGGAGTGCAATGGCGCGATCTCGGCTCACCGCAACCTCCGCCTCCTGGGTTCAGGCAATTCTCCTGCCTCAGCCTCCTGAGTCGCTGGGATTACAGGCACGCGCCACCATGCCCAGCTGATTTTTTGTATTTTTAGTAGAGGCGGGGTTTCACCATGTTGACCAGGATGGTCTCGATCTCTTGACCTCGTGATCCACCCGCCTCGGCCTCCCACAGTGCTGGGATTACAGGCTTGAGCCACCGCGCCCGGCCTGCCATTACCTTTTTTTTCTTTTTAGACAGGGTCTTGTTCTGTCACTCATGCTGGAGTATAGTGGCACCATCCCAGCTCACTGCAACCTCCAACTCCCAGGTTCAAGGGATCCTCCTGCCTCAGCCTCCTGAGTAGCTGGGACTACAAACATGCGCCATCATGCTCAGCTAATTTTTGTATTTTTAGTAGAGACAGAGCTTCACCATGATGGCCAGGCTGGACCAGAACTCCTGACCTTGGGATCTGCCTGCCTTGGCCTCCCAAAGCACTGGAATTATAGTTGTAAGCTACCGTGCCCAGCCTGGCCTTTTTCTTTGCAGTCATTTTAGATGCACTCATTTTTTTTACCCTGTGGATCTGAAAGCTGGTTTCTGAGACTGTCTGGGCCTCAGTTCTCTCCTGTGTAAAATGGAGATAATTATATCAGCTGTGAAAAGTAGTGAAGACAGAGTGAACTAGCACGTATGCAGCACGTGGAACAGGGACTAGGCCATAGTAGGGGTTCCATAAGGGGTGGGTTTTTTGTTGTTGGCTTATTTATTTATTTTTTTGAGATGGCGTCTCATGCAGTGGCACAATCTCAGCTCACTGCAACCTCTGCCTTCCAGGTTCAAGTGATTCTCCTGCCTGCCTCAGCCTCTCAAGTAGCTGGGATTACAGGTGTGTGGCATCACACCCAACTAATTTTTGTATTTTTAGTGGAGATGAGGTTTCACCATGTTGCCAGGCTGGTCTCAAACTCCTGACGTCAGGTGATCCACCTGCTTCGGCCTCCTAAAGTGCTGGATAACAGATCTGAGCCACCACACCCGGTCAAGCGTGATTATTTCATTACAACCGAACTGCAGCCATCCTATGATCTGGCCACTTACCCCAGGATAACAGCATCCTCAACTAGATGGCAAAAAGCCACTTCCTTTGCACTTGTCAGTGCCGTCAGCCTGGAGGAATAACAATAGCACCATCGACTGTGCCAGGCACTATCCTAGGCGCTCGTGTTGAATCCTTGCGAAGCCCTGGGGAGCAGGTCAGTGTTTGCCTCTGTATTACAGACGAGAAAACTGGGATGTAGTAACCAGTCATTGGCCAGGGTCACGCAGCAGTGAAGTAATGGTGCTGCGATTTGAACCTATGTAGTTTGATTTAGGATCCAGAAGTTTCACTAATGGATTACCTGGCTCAGAGCTAGTAAAATAGCCCAGTCACAAAAGCACCTCCTGATGCCCAGAATCATCTTCAGGTCCTCAGACACAGAGCCAGAGGCAAGGATTAGCTACTGTATGATTTACAAAGGAAAGAACCCCTTAAGGGATGAAGGGAAGTAAGACAGGGAGGGCACCAAGCGAAGATGTGGTCCCAGGTAAAGTCTAGGCTTTACCTGAGAAGGCTGGCTTTGTGTACCTCTGTACGAGTCAGCTGTTGGCCGCGAGCCTCCCTGTGGGTGAGGGGAATAAACTCCAGGATGAGGTGATTCCTGAGATGGCAGTTCTCAGCAGAAAGGGAAATAGTAAGCCATTAGAAGTCAACAACGGAAGCATCTGGGGGTAGGGGGGTGGCATGTGAGCCCATGAAGGGTTCAAGAGGTTCCCAGAGGCACACTTCTTGCCTGCCTAATGAACCAAGTTCTAGAACATTCTGGAACATTCACTTCCTAGACTTGTTTTGGAGAATTCTCCTTCTCACTGCGACCAGCATGTTGAACAAACCCAGCCTGTGACATGATCAAAGCACACCTTAATTTTTATCTCCTAGTGTCCCTTTGAACATGTGTTTGGTGGAGAAACGTTTTCCCTGCCCCTGGGTGAAATCCCTCCATTACTCTCCTACTCTTTCTGAGGAAACAGACAATTCTATGGTCACTTCAGCTCACAAACACAACCGCAATTTAGAAATTAGAATGTCCAGGCCAGGCATGGTGGCTCACACCTGTAATCCCAGCACTTTGGGAGGCCAAGGCAGGTGGATCACCTGGGGTCGGGAGTTTGAGACCAGCCTAACCAACATGGAGAAACTTTGTCTCTACTAAAAATATAAAATTAGCTGGGCGTGGTGACACATGCCTGTAATCCAGCTACTCAGGAGGCTGAGGCAGGAGAATCGCTTGAACCCAGGAGGTGGAGGTTGAGGTGAGCTGAGATCACACCATTGCGCTCCAGCCTGGGCAACAAGAGCGAAACTCTGTTTAAAAATAAAAGAAAGAAAGAAAGAAAGACAGACAGACTAATGAATGTCCAATCAAACTTCTAACCAAAATTCCCAATTTGATGTGGGTTTAAACCTTCTTCCCTCTCCCAGCTCAGGCCTGCTGCAGGGAGATGGTGTGGGTGGCTCCTTCTCTCTCTCTCCTTCCCTCACCCACACATGGGGCACAGAGGGGCCATTGGAGATGGCAAGGGGAGAGAAAGGGTCTCCCTTGAGCTGCCACCATCCTGGCTGGCTTCAAGCTGCTCCTTTCTGTTGTGGGCCCCATGGAGACGGCCATTGCCACAGGGGCCCTCCCTTCACCCTGGGGGATGTACCTCTCCTTCCAGGGGTCCCTTGCAAGTCCTTCATCAATCCTTAGGGACCCAACATCCAACTCAAGCTTCTCACTGCTGCCACACCTCTGCCCCTCAAGGAGGCCCTAGGGGACAAGACCCAAAAAGACCCCCTGTAGGTGCTCTCTGCCAGCATTGGTCCATTGGAAACACTCCAGCAGCCTGTGTCCTGGAAGGCCTGGGAGTGTGGCGTACCTTAGCACTCCTGCACTGTGGCTACCTCACCAATTCAGCCGGGCAGCCTGCTTCTCTCAGCCTCTAGACGTCCATGCCCCCATGAGAACACTGGGCCCTCATAGTGGCCACACATTCATCTCTCCAAATAGCAGCCCCACTCATGCAGGAGTCCCTTGACCCCATTCCTCTTCCCATCCTGGGAGGACGTGGTGGATACAGGGGTAATAAGTAATGTAGGGGTTTTATGTAGTCATGGCCAAATTGTAGCAGCGTGGGTTTGGACTGGACTCTTAAAAACAGCTGCTGGTTGTCACAGCAGAGCTTTCTAGAAACATTGCCCAAGTCATGTCCACCATCCTGAGTCTCAATTTTTTTCATATCCTTACTGGGGGTGACAACACCTACCCGATGGATTTGTGTTGAGGGCTGAGTAAAGTAGTGAATTTGTGGAGAGGACACACCAGGATTCCACAATCACACACCTGCAATTCCATCTCTGGGGGACCATGTACAAGTGATGTGGCTTCTCTGAGTCTGTTTACTTCTTTGTTCAATGGTGCTCAGAAAAGCCTCGACTCCACTGCATCTCTGTAATGTTAGTTAAGTGCATACATACGACATGCTTAGCTCGGGACCTGGCATCTGGTAAGAACTCAGTCCATGCTGGGCGTTAGTCATACAATGGCGGGTGGGCTGGTACTGATGGAGGTGATGTGGGATCTCCACCCCTTCCAATTCCCTCGCTGTTCCAGGCCCTGTTTTGGAAATGCTTCAGCCAGGCTGGGATCCAAGGACCCTGGGAACAGAGAGGACTCGCTGTACCTCCAAGCGGCCATGCTGACTCAGGTTAGGAAATCGGTGCGTGACCACAAAAACACAGCCAGGCTCTTCCCACTTCTGGGAAATCCACACAGCCAACCCACAGGTACCTCTTTACCCCTCTCCTGAGAGGTGGCCAGCTCCGTTGTAGGTCCTGATTCTGCAGCTCAGGAGCACAAGGCTGGCACACTGAGGAATAGGACCCAGAGACTGGCCCCTGAAGGAGCCCCAGGCCCAGGGGTCACAAGCTTTGCATGACCCTCTGATTGGGATCAAGCATGGCTGGTGTTTGCCAAGCCTCTGACTTCACCCAGCCCTTGTCTGGACACTTCTCAAGCCAAGCCAGGCTCCGGACCACTGGTTGGGCAACCCATGACCTCAAACTGGGTCAGACCCATCAGATGAGCATCTGTTTAACAGTATAGGACATTTTGTTTTCTAGAATCCCAAGGGTCAGTGTATGAACCCTCCCCATCTCTAATTCAAACTCCTCCCCCCTCTCTCCCCCACCTATTGCTATTTACTTGTTCTGTTACTTTGGGCAACTTCTTTCAGCTCTCTGAGTTCTGGTTTTCCCATCCACCAAATGCGGACTAACAAGTACCTTCACCTTCCAGGGTTGATGTGAGAGTCAGGTAGTGAACGTCAAAGGCTGGCACACACATTGGCAGGCACTTCATAAGGGGAGTTATTATGCAAACAGAGGCGCTAGACACCAAATAAAAAACAGTATGGGCCAGACAGGGTGGCTCATGCCTGTAATCCCAGCACTTTGGGAGGCTGAGGTGGACAGATCACAAAGTCAGGAGATTGAGACCATCCTGGCTAACATGGTGAAACCCTGTCTCCACTAAAAATACAAAAATTAGCTGGCATGTGCCTGTAATCCCAGTTACTCGGAAGGCTGAGGCAGGAGAATCGCTTGAACCCGGGAGGCGGAGGTTGCAGTGAGCCGAGATCACGCCACTGCACTCCAGCCTGGGCGACAGAGCAAGGCTCCATCTCAAAACAAACAAACAAACAAACACACACCAATATGGTATATATGCTACAGTGGATGACAAGACAGAGCTGAGTATCAGACTGCCTGGGTTCCAAACCAGGCTGCTGGCCAGGCACAGTAGCTTGTGTCTGTAATCCTGGCACTTTGGGAGGCCAAGGCGGGAGGATCACTTGAGGACAGGAGTTCGAGACCAGCCTGACCAACATGGTAAAACCCTGTCTTTACTAAAAATACAAATAAAATTAGCTGGGGATGGTGATGGGAACCTGTAATTCCAGATACTCAGTAGGTTGAGGCAGGAAAGTCGCCTGAACCCAGGAGGCAGAGGTTGCAGTGTGCCAAGATCTTGCCACTGTACTCCAGCCTGGGCCACAGAGTGAGACACTGCCTCAAAACAAAACAAAACAACAACAACAAAAGAAACAGGCAGCTCTGCCACCTCCTGTGTGACCACAGGGAATCTCTCTAAGCCTCAGTTTTCTTCTCCATAAAATGGGAATAATCATAATACAGTTAAGAGGATTCGATTAGACTATTCACACTGGAAACAGTGCCTGGCACATAGTATCACCTAATAAGCATTAACAATTTTTTGTTTTATTTTATTTTTCAAGTCTCTGCCACAGTTGGGAAACATGAACAATTTTTAATTAGCCACACAATTGAGTACTGTCAGTAAGGGTGCTGAAATCACACAGGACAAGGTTTTGAACAAAATTCACGGGGAAGTCATATTTAGTGAACCCACATACCTGATGCTAACAGAAGCCACACATTTATATACATATGTACATATATGCACACACATAATGTGAAGTAGGTACTTCTGTCTTCATTTTTTAAAGCTTTTATTTTACAGAGCAAAACAGATGCAGAAAACCACACAAATTAAATTTGTAGCAGCCAGGTGCAGTGGCTCACACCTATAATCCAGCACTTTGAGAAACCGAGGTGAGCAGATCGCTAGCGCCCAGGAGTTTGAGACCAGCCTGGGCAATATGGCAAAACCCAAAACCCCATCTCCACGAAGAATACATAAATTAGCCAGGGATGGTGGTGTGCACCTATAGTCCCAGTTACTCAGGAGACTGAAGTAGGAGGATTACTTGAGTCTGGGAGGTCTGAGGCTACAGTGAGCTGAGATCACACTACTGTGCTCCACCCTGGGCCACAGAGTGAGACCCTATCTCAAAAAAAAAAAAAAAAATCAAAAAAAAAAAAAAAAAAAAATGTAGCTTAGTGAGTTATAACAAGGCAAACACTCTGCAATCACCACCCAGGTCAAGAAACAGAATTTTGCAGCCACCTCAGGGTTCCCCTCTGCACCTCACCAGGTACTCCATATCATTCACAGCCTCTTCCCCCAAAATAACCACTAATCTGAATATTAATTATTTCTTTGCATTTCTTCATGGCTTAATCATCTGAGTGTGCATCCCTAGATCGTATTGTTTAGTTGTGTACACTTTTTATTTTTATTTAATTTTTTCTTGAGACAGTCCTTTTCAGCCGTCCAGGCTGGAGTGCAGTGGCACAATCTCGGCTTACTGCAACTACCACCTCCCAGGTTCAAGAGAATCTCCTGTCTCAGCCACCCAAGTAGCTGGGATTACAGGCACCCACCATCATGCCCAGATAATTTTTGTATTTTAGTAGAGACAGGGTTTCACCATGTTGGCTAGGCTGGTCTTGAACTCCTGACCTCAGGTGATCTGCCAGCCTCGGCCTCCCAAACTGTTGGGATTATAGGCATGAGCCACCATACCTGGCTGTATCAACTTTTTAAAAGCTTGTTTTTGTTTTTTTGGCTTTTTATTTTTGGAGACAGTGTCTCACTCTGCCGCCCAAGAGGGAGTACATCAGTGGAATCATAGCTCACTACAGCCTCGAACACCCCAAGCTCAGGTGATCCTCTCACCTCAGCCTCCTGAGTACCTAGGACTACAGGCACGTGCCACCACACCTGGCTAATCTGTGCATTTTTTTTTGTAAAGACAGGGTATCACCATGTTGCCCAGGCTGGTCGTGAACTCCTGGCCTCAAAT